ATTGACAGGGTAAGGATCAGAAATGCCAAATACAGGCATCCTTGTCTCATAGTGAAAAAAGTGAAGCCAAAAGGAGAACCTGTATCACCGTGTAAGATAAGCCTCCTGGTTTGCCACCGAGTTGGTAAAAGTTTGGAGAATATTTCCAAAGTTCACGAAAAAGGTTAGAAAGCAATAAGCTTTTTTTTCCAAAGAAAGGTGTCAAAAAAACCCAAATAAACAAAAAAACCCCAACACATTAATATTAGCTTCAAATCACTTACAAAAGTAAGAGGCTATCATTCAGTTTTGGGATACAGTATTAAGTTTGCTTCCACATAATGGGACTCCAGCTCCCATATTCATCCCATAGAGATGAATAAGTTTCAAATAAGTTAGATTCAAGATAGAAAGGTGACTCAAGTTGGAAGGTTTCCTGTCATTTTCTATTTAATAGAGCACTCCAGATGCCAAAACCTTTCTTTACTAAACCATTACTGCCTCACCTTCAACAGAATGAAAGGCATTCAGTTTGATGACAAATCAAAGTAACATCTCTCTGCAGTATTGTCCATAAAGTCTTCAGATAACAGCATGCTATGCCGAGGAAGGTAACTACTCCCATTCCTAGAGGTACAGAAAAATACTTCATCATAAAAGCATGCCAAACCAGAGCTAGTCTTTCCACATCAATAATGAAAAATTCACTTTGAAAATACTCATTTTGTTAGAAAACCATTACAAAAAGAATATTTTCACTCAGGTTCCCTGCCCCATACTGAGTATCAACCCCCTGCAATAATTATCTGAAGGAAAAAATAAATACGTATAAAAAGTTACATTTGCACCTCTGAGAAGGACTGAAAGGAGGTAAGACCTACTTGCTGGCAAAACAGAGCATTGTGCAGTCCATAGGAAGCAACAGTATTAGAAAAACATCCGTAACTACGATCACCTTAGTTCTGACACAAAAGCTTTCTTCTCTCTACCTGTCCCACATTGTGAAACCAGTAGAAATTTATACCAAAAAATTGTCATTTTTTGCACTGGTCGCTATGTCTGTGCTTTCCCCTCAATTTTACAGGAAAAACAGACAGGCTACAAGGACAGCATAATCTGAAGTGCTGGCAAACATTTTTCTATTTCTTAAATCACAGCACATCAGTTATGTAAATTAGTGATAACGTATTGCCAGATGACTATTTAAATGGAAATTCCAGACCAGAAATATTTCTCAGCAACAATCTTACTACTGTTACTATCAGTTACAAAATTAGCCTCTTCCACTTTGTGAGCCCTGTAATTACTTTAACACATTTTACCCCATTCTTTCGTCGTTATGTTTCAGACTGCTCAGTGATTTTGTGCTCTCATGTTATCTTTTTCTCATTTTCTCAGGAAAAAAAAAAGTGCAACTTATTCAGATATTTAAGAAACAATATATTTATTAGAATTTTTTTTAGCAAGATTTCCACCACATTCCTCAAGAACACTCCTAGAAAGGTATGTCAACCGACATAATTCTGAATCTTCTGTCTCCCTGACAAATGGTAATACTAGTAGCCAGTAGAAAAAACTGGTTTGTGAGCTGACTGGCTCATATCTTCTCACTATCTAGTGGACTACAGTGAACCATTACTTTGGAGGTTTGGAGCATCTTGGCTCCCACAGCTGGGAGGAAAAAAACCCAACAGATTAAGAAAAGAGAGAAATCAAGCCAGGATGAGACAAACGGACATAGGGAGAGGTTACGAGCTAGCTTAAACATGCACATGACCTATGGGTCTGAGCCTCAGGACATCAGTTGAAACAGCTTTTGGGATGCATAAGGTACAACACCTGACAACTCCTTGCCTTGAGAGCCCCCTTCTGCCTGTCAGGCAATACCCTTCCGCCTGCTAAAGCCAATAGCTTTGTTTCTACAAGAGACTTCTCTTGCCTGATAGCTCAGGTTAGCCACAGGGCTCCCAACTGGAAGACTTATGGATTGGTGCTCAACGACTACCTCATTTATTTCACATCAGATTCAATGAAAGTAACTGTATCCAAGGAGTGTATAAAAAAAAGAAAAAAAACCCAACCAACCAACAAACCAAACACCAAGTATTATGCTTCTACCTAGTCTTTCCAGCAGCTTCATAATAGAGAATATGTAAGTTGGAAACCCTGACTTGGATCCTTGCCTGACTTGGATCCTTGACTTCTTGTCATCTGCCCTACCCAGCTCCTTTGGTGTAGCAATGTCCACTCAGTCTTAGGGAAGATGCTCTTTGGAGCCAAATACTGCTAGTAGGTCAGCTAAATCACCACGTGATTATCTAAAAGGGAGAGAGGAGGAAGGGGTTTTGCTACTTCACTCTCAACTTTTCCTAAGCGAAAGAGGTGACAGAACTACTTGCCTGCACAGCTGCCTTGCCTGCTGGGTGCTTGACAGAAACCTTATGGTTCACTTGGTGGAAGCAAGTGCCCAACTACCAGGAAGTTTAGTGGGCGGGGTTAAAACAATGGGACCTAGAAATGTAACCTCCCGTTCCATGCAAGCAAATGGGTTTTAAAGACTCCTGTTCAAATGGAGCTATTCCAGGTGATGTCTCTGCAGAGCTGGTGATGCTTCCTATAACATTTGTAATGATATTTTTTGGATAGAAAACATTACATTTCAGAACAGCTGATCCAGTTCTGTTGGTAAGGGAGGCCATGAAAAATAAATAGTTTTTAATCTCCTGCTTTTAAGTCCCTCTGACACAGCCATTGACTGGTCTCTCCTTGAATTTGTTTCTATAGCAATTTTGATTCTATACAATCAAAATTAATCCTCTGTTTGGGTGGGTTTTGCGGGTCTGCTTTTTGTCTCTGGATCACTGATTTTTCAGAAATGGAAAGCAAAGGACGAACGCTTAAGAAATCAATAATGCTAAAGGTCTACGTTTAACAAGTGTGTGAGAAATGTAAGTCTTCTTTTTAAAGTATCTTAGCCTCACATCAGAATACTTTGCCTACACGGTCAACAGCCTATCCAGCTTCAGCAGCTAGTGTAGGCTAGCTTTGGAGCATTCAATGGGGAAGGCAGCAAAAAGTATTTCTGCCACTAAACACATTTCATGGAATGTGGTAAACAAGAAATGGGTGACCTTTCTACACAAAAACATCCTGTAGTTGCTTGAAAAAAATAAAAGGGGGTACGCTTGCCTAATGGTGACCTGCTGGTTTTAGCCTTCAAATAGAATTTAAAAAATCTACACATGCTGGTATTTAACATCAGGTTACAAACATCTAAACACTCGTGTTCTCTGCACTGACAGCTGCAAGAAAGTATTCAGCTATGCTGCCTTCACAACAGAACTGGACTCCCCTAAAAGGTTGAGCGCTGCACTGGCAGCACTGTCAAATTAGTTATTTGCACCCAAACAGTCGGCAGATCAGCAAAACGAGCACAGATCTGTACAAAAGGAGTGAACAGATACGCTGCACCCTGCAATAAAGCAGAATAGCCTATTACACTCATACAAAGGCCACATCCCTTATCTATAATGCCAAAACTGGGGAAGAGTGAAGCTGTCATTAAAGCCAATGATAGACCTGCAGAGGCACAGGCACACTTGCAGTCTCTGTACAGAAAACTGTGAGCACAGGCACACCCTGTTTGTGTGACTCTCCTTCAAGACAGGGGTCTGTTCTTACTCCATAGTTAGGAGCTTTTTACATATTTGAAGCAGCTTTACATGTTTATAGTGCCTTTCACTCAAAGATCTCAAAGGACTTTATACCTATTACATATGTCCCAACCCCTCCCCCTGTGAGGTAGGTATTATCCCTATTATATACAGATGGGGAAAATCAGGCACAGAGGTTACATTATTTGCCCAAGGTCACACAGTGAGTCAGTGACAAAATGAAACAGAATCCAGATGTTCCGATTCCCGTTTGCACAAACCAACAACTAACAAGCCTCAATTTTAAAAGAGCCTAAAACATGTATCAGTGTGCATAAGAACAGTCTTGGGTTTCAAGGGCCACTCCTAAAAAGCATATGAAAGAAAGAAAAACAGGAAGGTGAGGGGGGGGAAAAAAAAAGTGAGAGGACACATAACCTATTTCTGCAAGTGAACACAGCTTTAAAGAAAGACTTCCTGCTAATTCCCTTCCCAAAGCTAAGGCAGCTTGACTACGAGCCTGCAATATACGGGCTGGGAAAAGGAGGATGATGAAACCAAAGTTTGAAAGAAAAAAGCAAGCTAGGGTAAACAGCCACACCATAAGCCTTCATCTTTCTGAAAGCACAGGGTCATAGAAAAATAGGTCTGAGAGGGACATAAGCAATCATTGAAGTCCAGCCAACCTTCCTTGAAGCCAGGATCAACTATACCTACTCGTTCCCAAAAGCCTGGTTAGTCTGTTCCCAAAGACCTCCATCAGTGGAGATGCCATGCCATGCCCTCCCTCTGCCATCTGTTCCACCATGCACTATCACATGAGCAAAAGAGGACAAGCAAGTCCCAGATCGCTGCTTCTCCTCCTTCAGTGGGGGTACCACAATTCCCAGGCCTATCTAATGATCTGAATACGTTTCAGAGAAGGTAGTCTCCAGATATTTACTTGTTTCTGTTCTGGATTCCTTGGGAAAACATCAAACACTGGTGTCTGCTGTAGTGTAATATCAGTTTTGAAAATACTGATTAATACCAGGATAGATACCAATATACTTACTGCAAGTGCCAAATCCTACAAGGTCAGTAACAAAGACTTTGATATGGTAATTTTAGCTCATTGCAGATTCAAACTGCAATAAAAGGGCAGGGAAGACTACAGAAAATCCCCACAGCAAAAGTCACCAGCTCAGAGTTGCCAAGTTTCATCCAACTGCAGGCAAAAACCAGGCAGTCAAACAACACATCTTCAGCAGAGGCAGCACCATATGATCTCTGTAGCATCCCTCCATCTCATCTGTCTTCAAAGTGCATTCTCAGTGCAAAAAGTAGGATTGAATTTAGAGGGACTCACTGTCCCCAGTGGATTTCATACTAAGACCAGAATTCTTGCTTGAGTTCATATGCTGCAGCTTTGTGTGTGTTAAGTTCACTTCTGCATAGCGGAATGGTGCTGTCCTGGCTCTGCCCCTCAGCATCTATGTCCAACAGTGTCCGCTCCTCTACAGGAAGACCCACCTGCAAAGGAAGCAGTGCAGGCAGTCCAGGTCTCTCTTCTACAGTGCTGCTGCTACTAGCAAAACAAGAGTCCAGATTGCTTGGAGTATCAGTACTTGAACTGTTGGCAGAAGATTCACCCTTGGCATTGCTGGGTGACACAAACCACCAGGGATCAAGCCGCTGCCGACTGGCTGCAGGACGTGGCCGGGGCAGGAACTCCAATGTCTTGGGTCTTTCCAGTGTGGGGTCCTGCTGTGCATTCCATCGTCTCGGGGTTGGAGGAAAAACAAGGTTGGGGTCTGGCAGGCGAGGGACCTCATTGGGATCTCTACTTGGACTAGGTGTTTTTAATACACCTATCCAAAACAGAGAACGTAAGAGAAGAGGGAAACATGTTAGATGTCACTGCTAAATGGTTCCAAAAGATCTTAAATGGTATGCACACTGTGAAAACATTTTCAAAGCAGAAAGCCTCCATTCAGAATCTACAAACTTTGTATCTTCAAGATTACATCAATTTGAAGTGAATCACTGGCTGCTTTATCCCTGCATTCTTAACACACTGCAAGGCACCTGTTTCGCTGTCCTAGGACAAAGAGCAAGTTTTGTTCATTCCCTTTTTGCTTTCTGCAATTTTCAGACTGAAGAGCATGGAATTGACCTCCTGCCAGAGGTGAGGACACTCCAAATCCTTCAGAGGGCACAGCACCTGTTAACAGCTTGAATGAGACACTTGCAGAGCAGGATATGTGACACCTGTTTGCAGGACCAACTTCCTGTCAGAGCCATTTAACACACTACCTACTGTGGATGCTTCCTGGTTTGTTTTTGTTTGGGGGTGGGGATGGTGTTTGGTTTTGTCCTTTTTTACAAACAGAACGTAACATTTACATTTTCATGCATACCATATTAATGAGTATTCTCAGCTGCATTAACCCACATTTTACCACAGACTGCCACTCAACAGACAACCTCACATTTTGTTTCACCGTTTGTTTTTTGTTTTGGGAAAAGTCTAATTAAATCAGATTTTAATTGATTATTCTAGTCCCTTTTTTCCTTTGAATTACTAGGGCAAGAAAACAGGAAAGCATTTTTCAAGTTATCAAGCAAGTCTTTATTCCTAAAGACTGCAAGAGTGAGAACAGTACCTACCCAAGAAAATCCCTCTTGCTTGCAAAGGAATAAGAGCAACAGTGGCACAGCCCCAACCTGCTTTAGAGATCCAGTTTTCACTGCCTTAAGGATCAGAATTTACTTGGAAATTGTAACAGCAAGACAAACAAGTGTATAAAGGCACGGAGATGGAATCCCAAGGAACCGCTAAAAATGCACAACATTCGTAGTTTGGTACCATCTTTGTCTAAGAAACAAAACTACGCTCTGCCTCACAGCAAAGGGGAGCAGAGTGCTCCATAGCATAGAGATGCTGGAACAGAGACCATTACTGCATTATTCTGCTCATGATTTGTGTAAAGACAGCATCCATAAGCTCTTCCTGTGGGCTGGCCATCACAATGGATGCTGTATAAGCTACACGTTTACTTCCTAACAAGCAATTATGTTGTTTGGGTCTTTGTTCTGAAGAGAAAAAGGAAGATGGATGAAAACCTACCTGCTCCCAGTGCTCCAGTTAAACAGCTACTGGAAGGGCATCCACTGGTTGGGCACCCATTGACAACTAGTCCGCTCCCTTTGATGGCCCCATCAGAAGGTGTGCGCCTGTGCCCGCTTTGCTGGGTATGGGAAGAGAGCGTCACATGGGTGGGAGTCAGGGACTGGTTGGGGTCCTGTTTGAACCTCTCAATCTGGACATTGACTAGCGGGTTGGTGATGGCTGGCAAGGGAGCCTTGACTGTCACTGGGCTGACAGGCATTTCATATACCACAATCTCATCACTGTCTGAGCGCAGCAGGGACCGGGTGGAATTACATTCGGAAATGGAAGACAGGGAAAGAAGGGTGAGGGATGTGGATGGCTCGCCTAGCAACAACATGGGATCCTCTTTCTTGAAGATCTTCCGGGAAGGTGGACTAGTGCTCCTGCGTGGGCGTCCAGCTCGCTGGAAAATGCTGTCACGCTTTTTCTTCTCTTCCTTGGGTGCCTCTGGCTCCTCCTCTATTAGCAGCTGACACTTCCCTGCTTCTAACAGGTCAAAGCCCAAGCCTGCAGCAGCCAGCACTGCTCCACAGCCGAGCAATGCAACCTCACATCGCTTGTGGTGGGAGCCACTACATTTGAGGCTGTTGGTGGGAGTCAGCTGTGGGGTACTTGTAGCAGAGTTCACAGGGGTGGACTCCTCATTGGCATCACTAGAAGGGCCATCCCAGTCTTCATTCTTCTGAAATGGGATGCAGAGGTATGACTGATTGTGCCCAGGTGAAGGGTGCACTTTTCCCTCTCCGTTAAGACATTCACTGTCTTCATCATCTGCAAAGCAAATGAAAACAGACTTTGCATGGATGTAACATTTTCATTAGCAAATTTCACTCTCTTACAAATATACATGAAAATTAAGCTTTTCCTCGAAGACGCAACTGTCCTTTTCATCACAAGCACCATTTACCAGCTCTCAAATACTCACAGGTTATTGTCATCAAAGCAGATAGGCTGAGACAATTAACTGGAAACACTATCAAGGTGGAAGAAATTAGTGACATGTTCATCTGTTTGGGATCAACTGCAGAACAGCATTTCAGAAGCAATCTACAACTCATTTACTTCTAGAGTAAATTTATATGTTTGGGAGTGAGGAACAAAAAGTAAGAAAATAAGGATGTCTCCTTGCAAGTGAAGGTGTAACCATGCTGCACATCTAACTATCATTAGCAGGAAAGGAGTTGAGAGGTAGCATGGAGCTAGAGGGGAATTGAGAGAAGCCTGTTAGTGTGACAGGTAAGCAGCACAAGCAGACAGCCAAACAAAAAGAAAATCCAGAAGGAGAAAGTAGTTACTTCACAAAGAATAAAAGAAAAATGGATATCACAAAAATGGAAACATTGCTGTAAGGTACCAGGTGAAGGACAGGAAAGGAGAGGTTCATGCAAACGTGAATGGAAGTGGTGATGAGAATATGAAGTCCAGAGGATTCCTTTACCCATCTCTGCTAAGCTGGTGAATCCTGGAAAAGCAAGCGCAGTCCTCTGGATCTTCCCAAGGTTCGGTGCACTGGATGACCACTGTTTGTATCCTTCTACCAGAGCTTTCAGACTGAAATAGCAGAAAGATGGGAGAAAACGTACTGTGGTCACAACCAATTTTCATTCCCCCCTTCTATATTGTCTATTGCCCTACTTAGGGTATGCATTTATCAGCTTAATTGCATAGATTTAAAGTCCCCCCACAGGAAGACATCTTGCAACATCCTTACAGCACCTTAAAATACAAAAAAAAAGTTAAATGTCCCTCTTTCATTTGTTAGACCATGGCAATCAAAAAGACCTTTGCTGATAAGCACCAGCTACGAATGCAGAATAACAGACGGCACCACTACAAAAATCAGCTGAAACATCCTTTTTAAACCAAGGCAAGCCTACCATGGCACGTAACAACTACAGTGCAGCAGGAGGAGGGGAAAATATCTCCAAAAACATGTCCATGTGAAATACAAATGAACAATGAAAGTCAAAGACTGCTCCCTGGGACAATAATATGCTGAAGTCATTGTAACAGCAAACTCATGCCTCTATATAACAGCCCCCAGTATGGTTCCTGTAAAGAAAACTCTGCATTCAAGTACAGACAGTTAAAAGCACAAGTTCTAAATTAGGGAAAAACAGGTAACTAAAATCATGAAGCATGTCACTGTTTCTTTTAGTTACAGACAAAAAAAAAACCCGCCTTCAAACAAGTGAAAAACCCAAAATCAAATCCCTACTTTGAAGTCACCTACATTTAAAGTTATGTCACTTGGCACCTGATCTTATTAGCAGTCCCTATTCATAGGTATTCATTACCATCATCCTATTTGTTGCCTGCAGTACTTTCATGACATCAGAAACAGCTTTAGGAACTGGGATAACCTTCCCACATATCAACACTCAGCAAAGTTTTATTATTCTGGTATCAATATTGTCTGAACTGGGAGATTTGTGGTGCCTTTCTCCAAACTCCGACATGAAACACATCGTAGCGTTGGTGAAAAGCTGTCAGGCACAGCTTCAATTTCTATCCTGTCAGAAATGGAATAAAAGGAGCAAAAATATCTGTGGATAGTCTGAATGATCTCAACTGGACATACAAGAGCACCTACTCGTTACTCAAAGAACAGAAAACTTCATAGATGAGACCTCTTCCAGCTCTGTTACTAACTTGAATTGTTCTTTGATCAAAGCCACATAACTTCTATATAATCTTATCTTTCTTTTTCTCTTTCCACCAGAATTATTCTGCATTTCCAAGATGGCTTCCATCACAAGATTTCAAACCTCAAACCTTTACTATATCAGGTTTTTTCATCTTGGTGTGTATTTTTCCTCTATTCTCTACCGAACTGGCATGCCCTCTGGAGCTGACTCAGCACACATTCAGTTAGTTGATGACCGTGCTATAGGCATTACACTAAAAACATCCCGTACAGTTCTAAACTGTCTTGAAGGTCTTTCATTTCCCACCCATTAACCATTCTGACACATGCAGTTCCCTGCTGTGAGCTTGAATCCAGACAGCACAGTGCTGAATCTTACTTGCCAAGACAGACAACCACATGGTTTTACAACAGAGATGGAATTAGTGTTTGGGTCTCTGTCCTGATTTACTCCCTCCATACCATACTCAGCTATGTAACATATCTAATTATCTATGTATCTAAATTATCCATGTATACAGCTTGCATAATTAGGATAAATACTATAGAAAGAGCAGCACTAAGGGAAAGCTGGTGAGTGAAAATAAACCATGTTAGCAGTGCGGTCACCTCCAAAAGAAAATGCCAAAGCTCTTACAATATGGGTAGACAGCTACTGAGGAAGAGGAGATTTATTCATGGAGCTGGGAAAAGACATATTCTGTTGTCTGCATGCAAAGTTGTAAGTGATAGGCAGCAGTAATCTTCTGTTTAGCCTTTGCTTTACAGTCATAGTTACCTAAAGGGTCTTGGGAATTGCCCTTTATTGTACAGCAGGACACATCAACTTAGTTTGCTTTCTTTCGACTTCTCAGAGCAATCCTGCCCTGCAAAAAACAGGCTGAAGATTTGCTGTTACTGACAAAGCACTGCCCAATCTGAACAGAAACATAAACAGCAACCAGAGTAATTTCAGGCCTGCTATGTTTGCCTCAAGGTTACAAAATCATCATCCTTCCCTTTTATTTTTTTGCTCTTTCTCTCTCTTTCCCCCAAATTACAAGCAGACCACAAAGAGCTGCAGAGGATAGCTGCACATCCTCTTAATTAGACAGTAGTGTGCATTTGAAAACAATTCAACTTTGCTATGGCAGCATTATCTATTACATCTCCAAGGAAAAAGCAACTGCAATGATTTGAAAGCACTAGCAGCAAAACTCTTTCAGTCACCAGCATGACAGTTCAGGAACCTAAAGACTTCTTACCTGTAATCTATTTGGGTTAAATAGCAGGAAGGTTATTACTCTGTTGTATTATGGTTGTGTTACTTCTCTGTTGCCTTTTTCTACTGAGAAGTCAAAAGCACCCCTCATAAGGAGTGATAAGGTGACAAGACTCACTTGGTCTGCAAGTTGCAAAGAAAGGCCACTACAACTGTTAAGAAGGCCATCTCCGGTGTCCTAATACCCTTCTGTAACACCACGCGGAGGCATTAATACAATACAGTCGTGAATGAAAAGTGTCTTTTCCCAGGCTCACCTCTATTTAGCTTGCAAGATAACATCTACATGACTATGACTACTCCAAATCCAGTGTCACCTTCCATAAAATCAGTTAACATGACCAGTGTCAAAACTTACAGGGTAAAGACCACACACGCCACAGGAACAGCCTGAGGCTAATCAATGCCGAGTTTAAAGACAATTAAGACTTCATCATATATCCTTGATATATACCTTAAGATCACCACTGAATTGTCAGGACACTAGTCCAATGCAAAGCTTCATTCAGCCAGTCCCTGCAATTCAGCACAGCAACCTGCTGCTGCTGCGTGGATTTCTTATCCCCCAAGATAAACGCAGAAGAGTGAATAGTCACTGTATAATCTTTTCATGGCTGACTTGACTTCATGATAATTGTAGGTCAATTTACTCATACTTGAGAATTTCACTGCAATCCCCACAATGTCGTTCTTGCATAAATCTGGAACTACCTTCTGTGGAGAACACATGGGAAGTGATGAAAAAGATGAAGATTAGGTTCCCTTGATCACAGACATGTGTAAACAGCTGGAATAGCAGCACTGCCCCAGCCCACTAAAACTAGAATAAAAAAAATACTGAAAATAGCAAGCACTTCTGAGTCACTAATGTTCACTGCAAGTCTGCTCCTTTTAAGTAAGTCTGCAGTATGGCATGATCTCAGCAAGGAGCAGTAGTTCACTGTATGTTAATCATACTGCCTTCTCAGCAAGACTCTCGTATTTCAGATACTCTGCAAAGTGCCATAGCTGTATTGAGTCTCACTGGAAAAGGTGATGAATACTATAGACCATCTCAGTTGTAGAGAAAACAGGATAGTTTTAAGAGCAACCATATTTAACAAGCAACTCCTTTCCAGCTGTCTGTGCCCAAAACCAATGCAGTGCTTTGTATTGTACAGTAGTGAACAGAAAACTGAAGAGTTTTATTCCCATAATTCTAAGAATATGATTTCAATGTAGAAGTGTTTTTCCACATTTCCCTGTTAACATGTCAAGAGTACCTTTGAGGGAGAACATATTTTAATGTCATTAGAACACTTAGATCCAGGCCCACGTGCAGAGGATTGCAAGAGGGATGCATAAGGTAAACATCTGTTTTCTAGGAATTTCACATCCAAGCGCATTAATGATAAAAAAACTGGTTAGAATTTATTTTCCCTGCTAAAAATATGGCAAGAGTCAAACTATCAATTTTTTCCCGTGCTGAAGTTTCAAACTCCACTGAAAACCACAGCATTCAAACCTCTTAGAAGATCAAAAGACTCCTACATTTAAAGCAGCATTTCAGCACTGATCCATTGGAATCCTGATATAAATAATTCACACACACACACAAAAAAAAAAGCCACAGAACAAGAATCTATAGAAAAGGGCCAGGTACTACCTGTATCTCTGCAAAAATCACTTTCAGGATGTATTCACTCAAGGTATGTGTCCTTTCCAAAAAACTGAAGGAAGGTATTTGCCTGTCTCTACCAGATACTTTTTAAATAATAGCATTTAAGACAAGAAAAAGCACAGCTGAGAATTGTAAAAGAGAAGTATTTTCAGATATGAAATGAAACTACAGAAAGTTAAGCCTGAAAATAAAGACATGCTACCAGAGAAACAGTTTTGCACAGCTGAGAAGTTCTACTACTTAGAAATACACATAACAAGGTAAGAGCAGACAGCAGAAGCACCTCTGGTACAGCAAATACGTCTGCAAGCAGAGAAGTCCCTGCAAGAGGATAGGCAAACCTTCTGTGAGTCAGCTTATAATCAGTTTTAGAACCTGGAAACCAGCCTGGTTCCAGGGCCTTTCTTACCTATCTTCTCCTGCACCTAGCTCCTTATGACAAAGTGAGCTCGGTCCCCAAGTGCGTCCCTTTTTCTTCTGGCCTCTCTTCTCTTCTTCCTCTCCCTCCTCCTTTGGAAGGACTGAGCTTCGTCCCCATGTTTGAGTCACTTCACAAGTGGGAAGAACAATGGAAAGTGGAAAAGAAAACACAGATACACCAAAAATTGGTTCCACAGCAACATCAAGAATAAAACATAGGCTGGAACAGGAATAGCAATGAAACCATCCATTCAGGCTTCTTTCCCATAATTCTGACCATTTATCAACACACATCTAACTACCAGATCCCTTCATAATCAATATAGATAAGCTTCAGAGCTTTATTTCATTACTGGTTTCTCTTCTAGAACCACCAGTTTGATACCAGACACACAAGTGTCATGATATCTAATACAAACACTACACATTAATTAACATCCATTTCATACTTTTAATGCATGCTTATCTGCCTAATTCTGTTCTACTATGGGAACGCTATTTTCAGTACCAGTGCCCTTGCTTTTCTTTCCTTCCACGAGTAACTTAATCCACGCCCATAAGGTTTCACCGATCTATGCTGCCAACTGGTGCTTTTAAAAATTAACCTGTACACCTAAGGAATGCATTTCCTATACTATAGAATAGCAGTAATTCAAGAACGTGGGTAAGTAGGGTTTGACTCCAAAGGTGATTATCCTGCACATCTCCAACACGTTCCATTTTTTTCCCCTAAATGCATACGTGCAGGGCACAAGGCCAACATTTTAGGAATATACTTGGTTTTTTTACAGTCCTGTCCTAGATACGGATTCTTGGCATCTTACCACGCTGACAGACTGCACAGTTCCCAAATTCAATACTACATTGAGCTCCTTACACTGTATGGCCCTGAGTCTGGGAATAATGGTAGGACTTGCAGGAGGGCTGGAGCAGCTGCTGATCAAGCTTTTCCTTTTATCCATCGTTGGAGAAGCCTGCACAGTGAATTTATGCTGGAAATCTGTTTACCAAAAGAAAAAAAAATCAAAACAAAAGCAGAAAGACACAAATTAAACTTTTTTTTAAATATAAGAAAACTTTAAGAGCACAATTTACAGTATCTATGTAGTAGAGAAGTTCTACAGCTAATAGCTATTCCCATTGTACACGCAGTTACTTCAAAGATGTGTGCTCACATTCTTGAACGTTTATCTTTCCAGTGTATGTGTGAGATAAATATACATCCACAGATCCCCATGTGCTGACTGACACTTATGCCAAAGCATACCCCTGTATAAATTCCTTTTGCCTTTGCTCTGTTTCTTGAGCTGACCAAACCCACCCAACAACAGGTGTCTACCTAAAGAAAGGCATAGTTAACATGCACATTTTATCATCATGGAGCACCTCTGCTATGGGGACAGGCTGAGAGAGTTGGGCTTGTTCAGCCTGGAGAAGAGAAGGCTCCGGGGAGACCTTATTGCAGCCTTCCAGTACCTGAAGGGGCTACAAGGAAGCTGGAGGGGGGGACTTTTTACAAGGGCCTGTAGTGACAGGACAAGGGGTAACGGGTACAAATTGAAAGTGGGGAGGTTTAGATTAGGTATCAGGAAGAAATGCTTCACGGAGAGGGTGGTGAGGCACTGGAACAGGTTGCCCAGAGAAGCTGTGGATGCCCCATCCCTGGAAGTGTTCAAGGCCAGGCTGGACGAGGCTTTGAGCAACCTGGTCTAGTGGAAGGTGTCCCTGCCCATGGCAGGGGGGTTGGAACCAGATTATCTTTTAGGTTCCTTCCAACCCAAATCATTCTATGAATCTATGATCATTGCTCTTCTGAACAGCCAATCCCCCTCAGAAAATAAAGAATATAGAGTAAGCCACTATCCTGGAAGTAGCCATGAGCCTTAGGTGATTTACAAAACCCATACCTTTGCTCTTTTGCAAGGCTGAATCTCCATACACAATCCACAGCAGAAATGCTAAGGATTCAACATTTCTGAAAATCACCATCTGCACTCCTATGAGTGACTTCCCTGACACCTCACCAATTTTTCTTCCAGAAGACTGCTATTAGAGGTCACTTGTGTGTTAATATGAGTTCACCTATGAACTTGAGATGTAGTGTTGTAGTCCCACAGCTATGAATTTATTTCTGACAATTTTTAGATTCCTGCACAAAGAAATCCAGTAGATTACGGTTTCTGCTGCAGCATTACATAAAATATTCTCAAAGCAAGAACCTGTCATTTCTTATGTACATCTTTGAGTAAGTTGATTGAGTACTAACATGTTAAACTGCAACATTTTTACCATGAACCATATACAGCCATTGACTAACAACTGTGTAACATCTCAAATTTACTTCTGGCCTTCATCCTTGGAAGTTTGGGGAATGCTAGCCACAAAAACATCAAAGTCAGTTTCCTGATCCTAAAGAGGCATGTACTTTTCCAAAGTACGTCCAATACTTCCTAACGCATAAGTATCAGTAGAAAGGCGCTTCCAAAGCTACAGGTTCACTGGCTCCTCCTACTTCAGCCGACGCAGGCTAATGTCACCAACCTGAAGGCAAGCTGATATGATTGCCATCTTTTAACTTGAGACGGTTCCTCTTGAACTTCCCCATGCGCTTCTTCACTCGAGGCTTCTCCTGACACAACTGGTGGATGATGATGTTGAGCTCCCTTTCCAGGATGTCAATCTCCCGTTCTGCCAGCTCCTGCTCCCGCCTTCGCAGCAACTCCTCATGATTCTTCTGTTCAACAGCAGCACGAGTCAGTTCTTCTTCCCACGTGCGTAGCTCCTGCAGGGAGATCAGAAAGCAGAAAAGAAAAGCTATCTTGTGACCTGTGCGTTAAGACCGACGTTACCTACTCGGAAGGTGCAGCAACAATGACTTGTGCTCACAGCACTGCTAGCACCACTGTTTACAGGCTCAGCCGAGAGCCAAAAACCTTAAACAATACTGAAGAACTTCCATGCTTGCCATTCAAGGTCAGGATTTAAATCTGGACATCAGCACTTGTGAGGCCACACCTGGAATCCTGCGTCCAGTTCTGGGCTCCAAGGTACAGGGGAAGCATGGACATACTGGAGAATCTCAAACAAAGGACCATAAAGATGATTAAGGGACTGGAGCATCTCAACCATGAGGAAGAGCTGAGAGAGATGGGGCTGTTTATCCTAGCAAAGAAAAGGCTTGGGTGGGTGAAAGGAGGAATCTTACCAATGCACACAAAAACCTGAAGGGAGAATGCAAAGAGGATGGAGCCAAGCTCTTTCCAGTGGTGCCCAGTATACAGATAAGAGGCAGTGGGCACACACTGAAACACAAGAGACTCCCTCTGAACGCTGTGGAGTCTCCCTCCTTGGAAATATTCAAAAGCAACCTGAGTGCAGACGCAGGCAAACTGGCTCTAGGTGGTTCTGCTTGAGTAGGGGAGCTGGACCACATGACCTCCAGAGATCCCAGCCTCAACCAATCTGCCATTTGGTAAAATGGCACCCAATTCTAAATTCAGGTACATGAGAAAAGGTGACATGAACATGTTTACAAGAGCCACTGTAGAGTACCTTGCATATGGGAACCCATTTTGCAGGATTTATTCATAACACTGAAAAGAATTAATCCTTGCTTTCCGTTCAGTAAGTACCTATGTTAACTTCAGTATTGACTTAAACTGTTTAAAATTAACCTTGCCATCTCACGCATCATAAAATAGCACAAAGCACATCTCTAACATAAAAATCAATGAAGAAAACATAATCAGGAGGTCATCCCCATCAGTTTTCACCAAGCATGGCTGCTTCTTTGGCATAAAGGAGCATAAGGCAAACTTTTCAATCTTTCCTTTGTTGAAAAATGAATCAACTGAAATTGTCCTTGAGGTCTCAAAATCTCTTTTCACTGCACTCCTCTCACCACAAGGGCAAAAGAATTCAGCACCCACAACAGTTATCTCCAGCCAGCTAATTTAATTGCAGAAGGTAAAAACTGTAAAATTCAAGTTAAGCTTCATCTTATCAGATAGATTTTATTAGGTAGATATTGTTGTTTGTTTGCTTTGGGTTTTTTGTCTGGTTTTTTTTTTTTTTTTAAACAACATCATTTTTACCTGTCCCATCATGGCAGACATTTGGTACATCTTACTCATGAGGTGAAGAGAATGTAGAATCCTCTTTCCCCAGTGCTACAGTGGAATACAGTACTCAAAACCTGAAGGTAGCCTAGCTACTAATGTTTAGTCTTCTGCTTGTCTGTTCAAGTTTCTGGTGTTCAAAAACTGTTTCAACACAACTACACCAAAGGGCAACATACCGCCACAGGGAGACGCCTATTAGCTATTTTATTTTTATCCCAAAAGCTCTTATGTGACTAGAAATATTTCAAGTATTGTTGTGGTACTTAGCTGCCCTGCCTCAAGATCTCTTTTTCCTTCTCTCTGCCTCCTAAACCCGATTTCTGAGCCCAAATCAAGTTGGCTGTTTATTATGTATTTATTTTCAGGCAAGAGGCCATAAACTTACAAAAATACTACTACTTTGCTGATTCTACTGCAGTATTTCACACCAACTGTAAAGACAGTCTCTGTAAGGACCTTAACATGGATGCAGCAACCTGTGCTTACGGGAAGTATGATTGAAGAAAATGTCAGCTTTTTCACTTAACTTCTACTCCTGGAGGCTGATGGTCACAATTCTTTTTATTCCTGCCTGAATTTTCGTTTCCAGCTATTTACACAGGTGGATTTCAATTATAACAGCTATCCAACCATTCCCCTGGCCAGCACTCATGTATATTGTAGTCTATCCACTCTGGCTGTGCTCAAAACCTGGGAAGCACACCTGGCAGAACCAAAGCTGCAATGTTTGCTAGATTATGTATGCTGAAACTACCCTTCTTACTTTTACTGTTAGCAATTATTATCTCAATTAGGATGCTGACAGTGAAATAGTTATCAGATGCATTAAAGAATGAAGAACTCATCACAGCAGCCTGCACAGTGCATAATGGCAGCTCACTACAATATTAGAAGGAGTAGCAGCTCAGCATGCAGATATTTTACTTATGATTATGCTCTTGTGTGCATCATAACCTGCCATTGATTTGGGGAACTTATTACAAGCTCCAGTAAAGTACATACAAAATTAACTCTGGGAAGCACTGGGATCCCTGTTTGAATTATGAAATGGGAAAATTATGATCCAGAGAGCACAAGCATGGAGTGTTTTTCTCTACTTACCTTTTCTTTGGCTCTGAGCTGATCAAACATCTCTTGGATCTCTTGTTTCCAGTCTTCCTGCAGCGAGTGGAAGGAATCTTTGGGCATTTCAAAGAAACCAGACTCTTCTATGGCAGTAAGATGGTCTAGGATAGTGGCAAAGGAAGGTCGTGAGTGTGGGTCAGGGTTCCAACAATCTAGAATAGGACAAAGACAAGCAACTATTAAGCATCATTTAGTACGAGTTTTGAGAGGATGAGTAGCACTTTACTGATCCCCAGTGGCTAAGAAAGGCATGCACACTGTCTGTGTTAACCCACCTTTCCCATTTCCTGCCTACACTGACTGTAAGTCTGATTCTAAGTCAAGTATGGAATTCATGCTTTCACACTCACGCAACATCCAACACCACTTAAGATCTTGAACTACCTGGTCTCTAGGTTCTATTGCAATAATTTGCCAAGTAAAATAGAGTTTTACCAGTTTTACAGAAAGTTACATTTTCAAACGTGTTTTAAAAAGTCCTAAGTAATTTCCTTAAATATTTTGCTTGAGGATGTATGTGCTTACAGAGGGGAGATACTATGCGAGACTTGTAAACAGTCATTTTATCACACTTAGACCGCAGAGTTAACAGCCATGCTGCAGAAGGATACCTATGCAAGTTCTTTCTAATGCTAAGCTAAGTCATTATGAATCTCTTCCACAGAGCTGAAAATCCCTCTTCCAAAGCAGACTGGGCATAACTTCAGTGAAAGTAGAAGATTTGAGTAAATAATGACACCAAATAGTGCATTTGGAGTTTTCTTCTTTTAGGGGTTCTTCATAATTTGCAAAAATTTTTTTGATCAGGCTTCTTTGTTTTGCTTTTAAGCGAAACTACAGATAAACAAGCTCTTCCATTTACAATTTAATGTAATGACTTGCCCAGTTACAGAGCCTTAAACCCACAGAATTTAAGGCACCCACCTTACCACAAGAGTCAATTCAACTAAATCTACAAAAAGGTACTCCTTTTACAGCAATGGGAATTGAACAGTGAAAACGGAAACAGAAATAGAAAGTAGTATGAAGTAACATCTCAAGCTCTGAAATCGTTAAGAACATGCTTTTAAAAAGCCATTAAGTCAAAATGTTTGACTTCACAACACTTGAATAGGAAATTCTTCCTCATTCAGTCCTCCCTTGTACTTCACCTTTATTTCTATTCCTGCAGACAACATCACTTTCTATATTTACAATATATTCACAATATTCTATGATGTCCCTCACCAGCACTTACGGATCTTGCTCAACAAGTATCCTTACCCCCCTTCAGTACTGCTAGACTCCTGCACACCAGTATTTGAGAAGAACTGAACAGAAAAATCTGACATTCAATTGTATTTCTAGAGAATACCGCTTCTGTGCATGAATAGAAATAAGACGTGGGTCTCAATATGCTTATACTATCATTGCTCTAAATTCAAGACACACATTACTGCAGTATGAGGCAAGAGTTATAAAAATGTTCTGAAGTTTCCTAGACCTTATAGCTGGAAAAAATAAAGCATTCTTAAAAATGTAGTGATGTCCTAAAAGCCATTCATTCATCAGTTTTGTGGATTGAAATACACCAAGGTGCAGCTGTCATTAAAAATAAGTAACACTTCACAAAATCTGTGCAACTGCTGAGGCTTGGTTTTGTAGGTCTTGTCTGATTTCAGCGTCACTGAGATTTTGCATTTGGGAGCTTTGGTTTCAAAACTGCTGGTATCAAGATGCTGGTATTTAAGCATCTGATCAGGTTCCAGGAAGCATAAGCTGGAACACATTTGTGTTTATGTATTTCAAATCGCTTTTCTTACCAAAACAGAGAACTGAGGATGTTAAAGAGTGCTCTGAAGGTCCCCTGCTGCTGACTAATTAGTAGCAATGGGTGATACAGCTGGTCTGTCAGTGCCATAATCCCTGCCTCTCTACCCCAGGTTTTAAGCATGGCAAAGCAAACATGACTCAAAGTAAAACAAAATCCTGCAGCCAGCCAAATGCATGAATGAGTGAACAGGGTTACTATGCAGGTGGCCCGTGGCTTTTCTTTTCCGAGGCCTAGATCCACCATTATTTGCACTAATGAGGACAGTTGTAACATACAAGCCTTTTCTGTGAAGAGGGAAAGTTCAGCTTTGTTGTCTCAGTGAAGACCACCAGGGCAGTAATTCAAAAGTAAAAGCAGCATTAGGGGAACAGGAGTTCACTCGAGACAGGAAACAGCCCATTTGAAAAACAGTTTTGGTGCAGGGGAAGAAAGTAATTGTTTTCTTGTTCTCTTCCCCCTGCCCATGGAGAAGCCAAGCGTTCCAAAGCCACTTGGGTGCTCACCACTGCGCTGCTGGGTTCAAGCGCAGGCCATATCCCTCTGCCCAACCTTCCCAATAGAGGGCATCATTTTTAACCCCAGCAGCAGAATCCTCACTTAAATATAAGAAATCCAGGGTTCTTGTTTTAGGGAACCATGTCAAAATAAACTGCCCTAGAACAACACTGAACTGGTAGTTCCATTAACTCTTTCAGATGCGGTTTCTTACTTTATGTTGCTTCCAAGCTACTACACCTGCAACACTGCTGCTGTTTACAGTAAGATTTTCTTCTTCTTTTTTAGCACAACAGTACATGAAAATTTCTACTTTAACTCAAATGAAGTCTGTAACCTACAGAAAATATCAGAGAAATGCAAAAGTACTCTGATAGCAGAGAAATCCACCATAAATGTTTTCTTGCATGAATCAGGTTCCTTTCCTGGGGCTAAAAACACCACCAGAGGCCACAGAATGCCAATTCCATGTTCAGACTCATTGTTTGCTCTCTAATACTATAAAATATGTTTGATTTCTCTTTACTTCAGGTTTTCTTTCTGCCTGATACGTATAAAAATGTTTATTCCACATAAACACCTGGAAATCCTTGTGAATAGGAGCACTGAAAAAAACAGTAAAGGTACTACTGTGAGACAATGAGGAAGGAACGAACAACCAAAGCTCAGGAGATATTTAAGTATATCAGGTCACATAGGTGCAGCCCAAAAGCTACCCCACAGAATCCTTTCATAACTACAGCAGCTCTGATGACAAACTCTGATATTCCTTTCAACCATATGTAGCCCACCTTGAGCATGTACTATCTCCACACAAAAAGCAGAAAATCACATCATTCTGACTGAAAATTTAGGTTGTTTTCAAATGTCAAAGCCACCTTTAAACCCCCTCTCTGAAATGTCAGTAGGATAAAGTTTCATTCCAAATCAATCTGACACTTCCTAGCAAGACGTTCAAGCTATGAATTTCAAAATAAGCCGAAGACTTCATGCTAGACCAAAATCGTGAAATTTTGGTGTTGGCAAGTCTTCACCATTAAAAAAAAAAAAGCTAGACGATGACAGAAACAGCCCTCGTTTTTCTATGAAGCCAACTGATCCAAAAAATGGCAGGGAAATTTCTTTCACATGCTACTCCTCTAACAGAGTAACTGTCACAGCACACTAACAGCCAAGCCCAGCTCCCACAGTAACTTGCACCACTGAATGAATTTGTTTGAGAATTCCGTGATCTCAGGTATCGAATCCAACACAAGGAGGCAATGCTCAACAGAAAAAACTATACTCACACCACAGCTGGCTTACCTTCCATGAGTTTGGCAAAAGGCTCTGGACACGTGGAAGGGATTGGAAGGGCAAGTTTATTCATGGCAACACCATATGCTACTGCGAGACCATCGATTCCTCGGAATGGTACTTCTCCTGTTAGCAGTTCCCAAAGCAGCACACCGTAACTACCAGGAAGAAAATGGAAGAGAGGTGTTGCACTTTAACACATTCTTTGTTAAGCAACAAGAAAATACCTGAAGATATCAGGGTGAGTCTGGTACACTGAAGGAATTGCAGTTTTCTGCACAAGCTCACCATGGCTGCAAAGCTGGTCTAGTGCCTTATTTTACCTGTTTTTTCTAAAAACACTGAAATACAACGCCATTTTCACCTTTAGGCAAAAATCATTCTCTCTGGGAACAATCTGAAAAACATTAACATAAATCTTCTGACTAGTTTAGTAAATTTCAAAGCAGAACCGAGTGAAACTCTCTCAAAAATGTGGAGGGTTGTTATTTTTAAAAATACATGAAAAATACTTGCTCAAGATTAAGTTGTTCATAAGATATTCTATGAAATATTAACTATGAAGTTAAGGAAATAGTTACAGGACTGTTGTCCCCCCACCAGTATATAATAAACAACGTATCCCTAGAATATTCTTCATATTTAGTGACCTGATGTTTTTGTTTTCCACTGATCTGAACTGATACATCATCCAATATGTTCTGGGGTAGTGAGTTCCACAAACTTAATTATGCATTGCCAAAAAATGCTTCTGTGTGTTTGCACTTGATACTTGATAATTTCATTTGCCTCCCTGTAGTTCTTCCAATACAAGGAAGGGTGAACATATGTTCCCTATTAGCTTCTTCCACAGCATCCGTGATTTTACAGGCTCCTACTACATCCTGCCTAAGTCCTCTTCTTTCCAGCCCCCAAAACCCTAATCTAGTTAAATCCTCATCTAGTTACTATGCTGAACAGAAGCCATTTCCTATCTTTCACTGCCCTTGACATCGTCTGTACAATCTCATTCCATTTTAACCTTTTTGTTGAAATGACCAAAATCAAAATTTTAAACATAGAGGTAGAGACAGTGTATTTCCTGGTTTTATTTCCTTCCTATTAAATTTTAATTTGCCCCTTGCCTTTCTGACTCCTTATAAAATGAGCATGGTTACCCACAGTAACTCCAATATCTTTTTACTGAATCCTAGCAATAAAATTTAGAGCCCATCATTGTACATGTGAAATTCTCCCATGGGTACTTAGTTTGCATTTATTACCATTTTATCTGTTTTATTATTCAGTATAGTAAACCTTTTCCTCAGCTCTCTGCAGTAGATTAATTTTCCTCTTCCTGAAAAACTCTGTATCATCAGCAAATGCCATTACCTAACCATTTATTGCTTTTATGAGTATGTTGAACACAAGAATTCCCCACCAAGAAAACAGATTTATTCATTCAGCAATTAAAAATTGACTAAGTGATGAGAAACAGACTTGTCCTCTTTTCCCACATCAATTCACTTTCTTTAGAAGCTTCTGACAAAAGACTGTTGCCAGTTCTCGGCAATTCAAATATGTTATCAGCAATCTTACCAGTTGTCCGCATAGTGTGCAAATCCTTCAAGAATTTTCATTGTTTCACAAGACGTGATTTCCTTCCTTCCTTCATATCTTCCCCAGATATGCTCATATGTCCACCAGCTCCCCCCTTTTTAGTGCTCTTTCAACCATTTAGTAGAACTGAAAATCAGACTTGCTGATCCTCAGGAAGCTCTTTTAAGGCCTGTCATCACATTTGCTGCCTTCCATTTCTCTGGTATTAAGGCAGCCTTAAGCAACAGATTACACACCACAGCTATTAACTCATCTGGCCCTCTCATGTTCCTGTAGAAAACTTGGGTGTTACTGTAAATCTCAGTGATTTGTTACTCTTCATTTTATCATCCAGTTTTAACAACTCTGTGGACACTAATTCAGTATGAGATGTCCTCCAGCTCGCCTCCCTTAAAGAGAAATTTTCCGCTTAAAAAGCCTCTCTCTGCTCCATCCGAGCAGACACAAGTCACTAATTTTCTTCTGCTACAGCCTCATCTTTGCCCTCTTACAACTTGGTCACCTCTGGGCCCTATGGTCTCCTGCAGGGTTTTCACCTGTGCTGCATCTGAAAGCAATTTATTGGGTTTTATGCTTTTCACAAGATTCTCCTCAAAAACCTTTTAAACTTATTGAGTTTTTTCGTTCAACTTGCCAATCCTAAAGTCCATGCCTACTTTTCCTTATTTGGACACAGGTTCCACTTCTTGAAGTATATCTTCCAGCAGTCTTTTTTACATCATCTTATTAATTCATTTAAAGTTTTTCCTATGCATTCGCTCTGTGCTTTAGCATAGTGTCCTTAAGAGATATCCACGGTGCACATTCTCTTTTGATGTTTTACACAAAACCCCTCAATGTTGTCATTAATCTCCTTGAGATTAAACACTAACGTAACAGACCAATTTTTCTTAATTGCTCTTACAAAGATACTGAATCCAAGTAAACATATTTTTACCATGGGCATATTGAACTATTTTGAAGGCCTCCTAAGCACACCTGAAGACCAAATGAAAAACTGCTTCTCCTCCTAAAAGCTACGCCATGACAGTAATTTCTGGAGCCAAAAGATTAATCTCCTCTTGTTGCAAGGCAGTAACTGCCCTATCCATTTAGGAGTAATCAAAATTTTCGTTGTTACAATCTGTACTCTTACAATCTCCCCCACCATGCCAACTCTTAACATTCATTGTAACTGCCGCCACCTTGGTTGGACAGTCCCAATACTACTTTTCCTATTTAGATATGGAATTTCAGTCACTAGACATTCCACCTTTGCTGCTAACACAGCTAGTTTACTTTATTAAGCAAAATAGCACATAATTTTCACCTATAAAATCTTTTGTATTTTTCCTACATAATTAATACTCTTGATATTGTAAGGATAACTGCTTATTTCTTTCCATCAAGGTTCACGATTTCTTACTATATCAAGAGCATCGTTAAAAAAACAAACAAACAAAAACAAAAAAAAACCCCACAAACAGGAATTTAAGTATTTCCAATTTTCTTTTGGGCCTCCTAGGATTTGTAAGACACTCAAAGAAAATGAATACTGGGCTGAATATGTTTGTCCTGTCTAAATCTGATTGGTCATTCATGTTACTCTTCAGTCTGGATGCAAGAGTTGATATCAGAAGGTTGGAAAAACTACAAAAGACTTGTGTTATTACTTTACCACTAGTGCTAGATAAAGAATGTCATAGATATTTCTCTTAATGGAATGGTTAGGAAACCACTATTGATCTGGTCAAAGCATTTCTTCCTCAGGGTAATTTTTAAAAGACAAAGGAATGGACAGATTGGTGTTTCTCTAAACATGACACTACAAGTATATACTGTAGGAAAGTGTACATTGTTTTGTTTCTGACAAAACCGAATGCTACCTCTTCCTCACATACATTGCTGAGAATACTGCTTCCACAGAACCGCTTTGTGACATTTGAACAACAATCACCTCAAGTGATTAAACAGCAAGACAGGTGATAAACAGTTTTGTCCATTAACTCTCAAGCAGGGGACTGGGAATTACAAAGGAAAAAGGCAGAGACACAAGAGATTTATACAAAGAACACATAGTAAGAAAGAATCAAGGGCCTCTCTTCATGCTCAGCAAGGAGAAAAAAAAAAAAACAGATCAAGCTCTTTTATTTTTCCAGCACCCAGTAGTAATTTTTGGACTTAATTACAAAATGAACCATGTGATACAGACCATGAGTCCAAGTCAACTGACACTTGTATAAATAATTAACCATCTCCTAGTGATCCAGTAATCCCTTAAGCCATTTAACATCAGGTTCAATCCTACACACTGGATTTTCAGGGAGAGGCAGGCTGGAGGTCTGTAGGATTTCACATGTGATTTTGCCACCTCCCTTCTAAGTCTGTGAACTTAGGGGGAAAAAAAAAAAAGTAATTTCTTCTCACTGTTATTGTTCAATGGCATTTGTACCACAGGTTCTTGTTATCCATCTCCCTAGGTTCAGCACTTTCCATGAGAAAGGAACTATCAGCCCAACAAAGACATCCCAGCAACAAACTAGAATATTACTTCAGTTAAGAAAAAAAAATTCATTACATTTTAATGGAAATTAACAGTTAGCATTTTGCATGTTATTGGACTGGCAGTTCCAGAGATGTTTCCTGCTTATTTCACAACAGTCAGCTGGGTACACTTCTCCCACATGAGCTTCTACCAGTATTGCTAGTCAACACTTACTCCCAGGTACTGAAGTCTTGCCAGTGCTTCATTTCACAGAGAAGACTACAGAAGCCTGCAAGCAGTCAGTTGTGGATGGAAGTGCTTGCCAACACTTGATTCAAATGAAATAGTCTAGTGACTGACGTTCCTACACCCACCACAATGTCTGAAACATCTTGATCTGTTAATTAGACGGTTTTATGTAGTTCGGGTATTCCATTCCTAAATGAAAATTAAATTCCTAATTATTTCAGTGGTCTCAGAGTAGATACATTCTAAAAGCATCTAAATTGAGGAACACAGGGAACTCAGATGAAGGTTGCATGTTGGCTTTATCTTCTGCTTACCAATCATATTGGCAACATGACTGTCTTTTATGCAGCACAAGTCAAAAATGAAGTGTGCAGCAAAGAAATACATTTAAGCAGTTAAAATGACAGGGAAATTTGAATTATAAGCCTACTAACATCAGCTTGCTGCACAGTACTGGATAAGCTGCAAATCTGTGCTTCAATTTCATCCCTGTAAATCCAAAGCAAATACATAGCTCTCCTCTCAAACACATAAATAGATTTACAGGAACTGACATTTAAATAAAACTGCCAGCTTCTTTGTTCTCTGTGCAACATAAGCACAAGGTTTCTGCTGTATATCCAAAGCTTGTGGGTACAGCACAATAAAATTCATAGCAACAAATTTTCACCAGCAAGGTGTGCTAAGTGCTGTAATTATCAACAAGATTGAGAGCGGCCCAGACCCTGGTGACAAGACACCAAGCGTGTGGGAGCATTCCTCAGCCTTCTAAGTTCTTTGCCAACTCTTCTTTAGAGTGGTACCAAAAATCCAGACTGAATTTTTTAAAAGGAGCTTGAGACATGTTTTGAAAGGAATCGCATGAAGCAATTATTTATGATGAGATAAGACTGACTCCGGAAATTTCAGTCCCGGCAAGCATCTTCTCCAACTTCTTCACCTGTTTGTGCAGCAGGAACACAAGCAGAAGATTCTTGTCAAAAGGGTGAGCAACAATTCAGCTGGCAGTATTATTCTAATAAGCTTCACAGAGAAGGTGTTGAAATAAAAGGGTTTGTGAATGGTAGGGACAGAGACAGCCAGTTTTGTTGATGCTGCACAGACTACCTGGAAGGTTATCAGACAAAAAATTCCCTCTATTCCAGTGATTAACCAAGAGGTTGAAGTGGACAAGAGCAGGGGCAAGTCTAATAGGATAAAAAAGTTCATCCTGTTAAGAATTTCAAGTTGCATCCTTGGGTGGGGACAGGATTTATTACACATGTCCATGATTGCTTCTGTAAAACCCAGTGCTTAACCATCACTGACACATTAGAAGTGACAGCACTGGCAAGTACTTGTCCTCTGCATATTTGCCTCAAACACCATATTCTTTTCAGCTTATTTAACTAGGACTCAGGGTTTTGGCCTCCAGAGAGAGAGAAGGTTTTTTCAGAGACCATGTAACAGCTCTCTTAATGGTGATAACCTCCTGTTTAAGGAAGAGGACTGAGAAACTCACCCTGTTTTCAAGGGGAAACTGGTAACTATAAAAAGTGATGAAGGAACCTTAAAAATAGAAATATAATATTCTGAAAAACTAACAAATAATTAAAATTATTTGCAATCCTTAAGTCCTGAAGTGATTTGCAGTCCTTAAGTCAATGACCAAACTGGTATTTTTGCAGATGTACAGAGAGGCAGTTGGTCTACCTTCATGAAAATCACCAACTTACCTATTACCTTTTTTTAAAATAACATCATACTGGTACAGAACATTTACTGATGTCTTCACAATGTACCTGGATTACTGGAGTTATAACTACCAGAAAATTGTTTCTCCCTTCCTTTCCCCCTCTCCCCCAGGTTACTCTTAAAGGCCATCCATTGCACTGTTTCAGAGAAGAGCAAGTTGAGGTTTGAGCTTGACAAGCTGTGTACAAACCAGTACTGCCAACATGTGCACGGAAAAGGTGCACAGCCTTGACGTTTCTGTTAGACTTCACACAGAATAAAAGCCTGGATTTTGCTCAGTTCATCTCAGATTAACTACAGAGACTGCCACATTTAATTACAGACTAAGAATTTTATCCACACCATTAGTGTGCAAAAATACGAGTTCATAGACTTATCACAAGGGAAACCATTATCTATTCAGTAAAACTGGATAAGGAAAATTAAAATCCCCACATCAAATCTCTGCCATAACAGCCAGACAGTCCTGCCAGTTGGGATATTTCTTTATCCTGACAGATTTCACAGCGCACACACTCTGTGTGGGAGAATTACTGGTCAGCAACAGAACCTTACTGCTCTAAAGACCAAGTCACCCTGACATTTCAGTATCCCTCTCCCTACAGGAAAAACAAAATCCTGTCTACTTATTTTGTTTCAGATGTTCATTACTGATTCTGTGTCATACAGCACCCAGAAAAGTCACTGTCCTAGATCTATTCACTGAATTCTGGATTTACCAATTTACTTAGTGGTCGTATTCTATCTCAGTTTCTGGAAGTCTATGGGCCAACCCTGCACTCCTTCCCACCAAAGTAGCTCCTGCTCTTAGAATTCCATGGAATGGAAAAGACAATATACACATGCAAATTATTACTTATGGATTACATACTCAGATGGACCTAAAGAACAGTTTTACTATTTTATGTGAAAGACTAGAAGGGTGGAAATAATTCATAAGATTATTATGGAAGTGAAAAACATTGTATTCAGGCAGAAGCTGCAGAGGGAATTCAATTAGTTGCAGTGTGTCTGTATACGTACACATCAGTGACCACTAACTACCAAAACATAAAATGATATTGTTGGTAACAGTTAAACATGTAGTCATTTTAAGTACTTCACGGATTGTTTAGTGGCCTTTGATTATGTCAGCCAACAGCCAAATAAGTACAAAAGGTTTGTTTTAGATGAAGCAGAGAGAATTGGTATTATGAATCCAGGGATAATCTGAATATAAATTTACAGAAGAACAAAAGTTTAGAGGCATGCAGGCAAGAGCTGGTCCCCCACCTTCTACAGTTAAAAAATGTTTACATTTAATACAAAGCAGTCAGAGTCTGATAGATAGAAAGCTGGTGGGTGAAATTTTCTTAAGACCTGAATTTTAATATTTGGTTCACCATTACTCATTCTTAAACACAAAAGAGGTTTCCTGGCAAGTCTAGTTACTCTTTAGTATCCAATCATTTAATGCCAAATCAATACCTCCACACATCGCTGCCTTTGGAGAACATGGAGGAGCGGATGACCTCCGGAGCCATCCAGGCATATGTCCCAGCTGCGCTCATTTTGGTAGTTTTATGCCATTCCCTGGCCAAGCCGAAATCCGTGATCTTCAGTATCTTGTTGCTCAGATCTCCATTTTCCACCTTTTCGAGTATCAGTACTGGAGAAAAGGGAGGGGAGAGGAGGGGGGATAAAATGTATGCAGAGTAAAGCTAGTATTTATGCAAAAGAGATCTTTCTGGAGATCTCCCGAATTTCAAGACTATCCTTGACTTTTACTTAGTCAAACATACCACACTCCATTACAAGTTATTTCAAGCTGAGCTCTTCATCTGACAAGTGAACAGCTGTCTAGCGAATAACTTCAAATTTAACCAAGATACTAAACCCCAGAGAACAAATAGAAAAACAACATAATTATTTAATACATTGCCCAGTGTCATTCGGTATAATAATTCTCTGCTAAGAGGAAGTGAACCACTGTAACTTCTAGAAATCCAGATAAGTGAAGACATTTCCTAATTAATCCTCTCTCAGCAAGCCAGTAATAGCATCTTTTTCTTTAACTGCTTAGAGGACTTTTTTTTTTTAAATCCAGATACACACACAGGCTGCATATACCCTTTATGTAAATGTGCTAGGAGTGGAAGGTCCATATACATACTATTTTTTAATAGTCACAATTAAAAAGAAAAAAAGGAAAAAGATTGATGATCAGTAATAGCATGCCCAGTTCAAGACTTGATAGACACCACCATGTTATCGTTTCCCTTTCCCACCATTATGAAACTATTTTTTTAGTTAATCTGTCAAAGTTTCTACCATGTTTCAGCAGCAAAGTTTATACCCAAGAACTTTAAAAAAACCTTGAGGCAGAACTCAAGAATGGTTTGGTATAAGGCACATATTCCTTTTCACCCAGAAACTGTACTGTCACACCACTCTGAAATGTAAACCTGAGGCCCAGAAGTCTCCACTCTGCTTTAGCAACATCTCTTTATCTTCTGTAAATTGACCACACAAGTTGCACTGGCATGTAACATCAAGCAACAGAAGATAATAGGCCACTAAGCTTCCACAACTAATGTAGCCATAAGCCTGTGAAATGGTTTTCAGCTACTTTGTAAAGGGCCACAAAGAAAAAATATTTGTATTACCTTAGTGCAATGACTTCAGAGCAATACACCATCATTATGCAGCTACTCTGTTTTACAGATACAGGTTCTTAGAAAACAGGATTTTTTTTTCACCTCTATGTATGTCTGTGTGAATTGCATACCTTTCCATCTTTGAATAGATCTGATCACTCAGGACAGAGCTAACAGTGCCCAGATGATCAGCCTAACAAAAGTGATTTAGCCACAAATATAGAGCACCTACACCAAAAAGGCAGCTAATCTACCAAGGTAGCAAAATCTACTCATTCTGGTCTGTTGATTTAAAAGACCTTTTTTTTAACCTCTATCTCACACAGAAGTTAGAAAAAACAAATTAAAAATCTTTCACAATCCCAGCCTTAAAAGGAGAAATTGTTTGGCAGCAAAGACACCGGTCCTAGTTTTCAGGCAATCAGGGAAGAACGACCATTGAACCAGCAGGAACATGCAGTATGTCAGTTTGTTAGTGTTGGATCACCGTTTCCCTGTTCCAGCAGGGCCCATGCAAGAAATCTCTTCCTGCGTGCATGCACAGAGCCAGCCAAGTTGTAGATGAAGGGATACTGCTCCTAACAACTCAAAACCACCTTTTTCCTCTGTAGCACAGGTAGGAGCCAACTGGCAGTGTGCAAAAGGGACTGGTGAAGCAAACTGGGTATTACAAGCACATTCAGACAGCTTCAAGGATCTGACTGCTACAGCAAACCAACTTAATATAGCGAATCACCAATACTATGGTCTTCACATCCTGCAAGCGCGAAGTCAAGCGTGGTGGGTTAACCACAGCTCAGATGCATTATGTCCAGCAAGACGGCTCTTCCATACCTTAAGGTGCCCCGGCTGAGACAGGAGAGCAACATGATCTAAACAGGCCTTGGTATCTCCCAGCAAGGCCTTCCCGGGATCAGGCAGTCACTCAGATACAGGTACATATGATTTAGATGTGTCATTTCAATTACTAAGAATTTATTAAGAACTTTATTTACCACAAAGACCCTCAAGAATCATTACTGGTAATGATTCAATCTCACTGCTTAATTTCTTGAGATCCTGGCAGACTGCAAATGCTGAAGGACAACATTCAATCAAGATATGTTAGGTCTGAGCTTAGAGAGATACAAAGGTAGAAATCAAATGCTGGGCCTCCTCTTATCTAAGTTATGATGAAGACCAGTGGTTTTTTCTTTGAAATTAGGATGTCTATTGAGGTTCCTCCATATTCTTTGAGATGATCTTTGGTGCCTTACAAGAAGCATCAAGTTTTTTTTCATATCAGACACTTGTGAGAAAGCTTCCTGAAGTACAGAGAAAGAAGTAGGTACCATATAAACAAAGGGGTGGGTTAAGTAACCAAACGCAACAAGCCAATACTTACTGGTTTGATGACAAGACACACTAACTAGCAGGATAGTATGAGGCAGAATTCAAAGACCATTTGATCAGACTCAGTCTGGTGCAGTCCTTAGTCATAATCCAACATTCCAGCAAGTTAGGAACAACAGTGTATTGCTAGACATGAGAAGACTTGTCATCATTATATTTTCAGTAGTTTTTAACATAAGTTTCCATCTATGTGATGCTTTAGCTTCTGCTCAGGACAAAATAAGCTGCAGTGACAAAGAGAAAAGGCAGCACTGCATGGCTTGCTTTCATCACTAACTTCACAGCATTTTCAGTCATGTCTAAGTAGTTCAGAGCTACAAGTGGAAGTTGATAGCCTAATCTCTGAACATTTAGGATACCCTATGCTTGGGACTTCGATACTTCATGGAAAGTTACCATCATGCTCACAGTACTAACTGCAGCACCCAGGCCTGTAAGCTACTAAACTGCCTTTCTTAGTTGTGTCCTTTAATTTGCCTTTGTTGCCATGAGTGAACCTAGAAATCAAGATCTGTAGTATCAGTGAACATACCCAGTTTTTTATGATACAGTTTGATTTAGTTGTTATGACTATTGAAGCAATAGAGGCCAGAGCCAAAGCAGACTAATGAAGTTTACAAAGAGCATCTTTAGTACATTCTGCAGATCATTGAATACTGGCCATTAACCAGACCTTTCACCCGGTCTAATACTCTTCAGTTAGTAGTCAACACCACATGCTGAAACAGAAGCATCATTAGATACTTTCCTGATACAACTGGAGTTTCTCATTCCAGTCTTGATCTGCACAAAGAGTGATGGGAAGTTAACTCAGCCAATGCTCTTATCATTTAAAGATGGTTTCTTAGTAAGGAGTGGGAAAGAACCAATAATGTACCCAAGATCCTCTTATCCTTGTTTGTGATTTAAGCTAGCAGCTTTTCTAGCAGAGTTGGAAATGATGGAAATCAAATTCTTGACGTCAGGGGAAGCCAGTTTACCTTCTCCAGTTTAAGTTTCATTCTGTATTAGTATGAACAGCTAGCAGGCTTTTGACAGAATCCAGTGTCAGTCTTTAGAAGTACACAGATCCCGAAGGGGATGATTCTCAGTTTCATGAGTCACAGTTGTGTATCAGTGCCATCAAGAAGAATGAGGATTTGGGTTTTTTCTAGACCCAGGGCCAACTCAGATGCTTTTGTTGTTTAAACAAAGATTTGTACTGAAAATAGACCTCACAGAAAGAGACCCGCTGAAGTATGACTGACACAATGGTATCTGACACTGAGTCAGCTCTTCCTCCTGCTCCACCCCATTTCTCATTATTATGCTTTACTAGAAAGACAAAACCATCTGCTTTAGTATTCAGAGCAATACAAAAGCAACTTACCTTAGAAATCTTAATCAAGTTGGTGCTACTGAATCTTCAGTTCTGTCTTGTCATCACAAGTCATTATGGAGATGCCTGCTCTGCAGGGTGCTAAACAGTTTGAGGTTATTTAATAGAAGGACAAATTTAAGGCTGCTGTTGGTCTGAGATCTTTAAGGACTGTTCCAAGGGTGCAGCTTCATGTTAGAACACTGAATTTTCACTAGCATAATTAGGATTGGGACTACATATATCTAGGACTATTCTATGTCCTTTCAGAAGGAGAAATCACTGCAGTGAAAACACTGTAACCTGCAGCTTCAAAAAATTTTGTTACTGTGGACATCCTGTACTAGTACCCAAACTCACTGGGAAGCTCTAAGGAGGGAAAACAAAGGATGAAATGAATTCTGAAGGAATACAGACTGGAGTCAAAATTAACATATTAAATGTTAGCCAAGTTTCAACTGCCACAAACGATAAGATAAAACTACAGAAGGGCTGCCCTGGAGGCAAGTGATAAACATTTTTAGAGAGATGAAATTCTGTCTTGCATGCATGAAGTCGATGCACACCTACCACAGCCTCACATGTTCAAAAGGCAAACGCCTTCCCTTTCTCCATCCTCATGAATCATATCAGGGAAAGCTGGCTTGGATGAAAAGCTCACAGCATCTCAGAATGCAGTCTTCCTGGGCTCCCAACACAGTCAGAAAAAACAAAGCTTCTCTAGAAGGGGATTCCAAGCATAAGCCTATATACATGCTCAAAATTACTCTCTACAGGAGCCTCTCTTGACTAGAGGCACATCTGTGTTGAGTGCCCAAACTCAAACCACATTAATCTCTGATCTGGTATAAGCAAGCAATTTCAATTAGAGAAGTCCCCCAACACACCAGATGTTAGAGAGCCATCTGGTGAAAACCAATTTAGAGTCGCAAGATTATCTTAGTGCTTTGAACTTTTTTCTAAATTAAGTTCTCAAATATATTGTCCTATTAGTAGGACAGTCAATGTAAGTCAAACTGGTACTACTGCTAAATGGATCTTAAATAAAACTGTCCCTTGGCCCACAAAGGCAGCTGGAGGTCATAATTCATTGCATCTTGCACCACTCACCTTAAGGATCACTGAATCAATTGAAAAGTCAATGGTGAACATCTTTGTCAAACACACAAAGGCTTAGGGCAAGGAGGCCCTCATTTCCAGATACTGAACAGCTGTATTTTAGTTTACCATGCATCTACCAGAAAGACATGAGATTAGATATAC